CAAACTAAAAACAAACTTTTCAACTCAGGAATGGGCTCAGTTGGTTGTGTGCTGGATTACGGAGCGGGTGTCCTTAGTTCGAATCAAAGTCTGGACGCTCTTGAACTCAGAGTCGTTTCTTGGAGTTTCCAAGACTCTCACCCCTTTTGGCTCGGTCTGATCGGAGACGGACCTTAAATTTGTAGGTACTGCCTCTTAAATAGCTGGGTAGTGCCGATAGGGGCTTTAAACCACTACACACAAAACACACACTCAACAAGGGAATCGAACTCACATCCTTTGCATGAGACGTCAAAGGGTCTAACCGAGACACCATAGAGGCGCCGGTGTGTTCACGGTGTGAGCAGAGGTAAAAGTCGGAAGGACAACAGGAGGGTTTGAGTGATCTCCATAAACGCGCGGGGTGAAACTTGTTCACCTTCTCTTCAACTTTTTTAAATCTCCGGTCTTATCTCCTTTTCGTAACACGATAGAGGACTTTTATATTGCTCTTTGGGTATTGCCCAGACAGTTTCCCTCCTTCAGACACTTCACGTTATCATTATTGCCTGTTAAGAGTTCAACTGGCACCTCCTTTGAATTAGGATCTTGTTTTATGTATACCTCAGCTCACAGAAATCTATGCTGCTTCAATCGATTCTCTTTTTATCTCTTCTTTTGTTCTTTTGTGTGGTGTTTCTGTTGTTGCTACTTTGCTGCTGCTGCTGCTGCTGCTGTTGATGGCGATGGTATTTTCTTTGTGTTCTTCTGAAGGGGCTTGAGCGGTCGAAAGGGTAGTGAGTGCAGACTCATAAATAATGTCAAACAATTAGTGTCCGTGACACGTGGTTTTGATGGGTGGTCACCGTAGTATGTCTTTGAGCAATACAAGATAACATCAGCTTAAAAAATAATTTAAAACATCAGGGTGTTGCACAGTGGCGACAGGCAATAGCATGTTTATTTCATTGTTCTCCATTGGTGTAATATTGTGCATTGTGTATCTTTTAATGTGTATATCTATGTGCTTAATTATGTACCTATGTATGTTGCCATTGTAAACCAAAAGTCCCAATGGGTCAATAAAATGGGGATTATTTTCTAAATTTATTTTAACTTCAATAAAGACAAATATGTCGTGCTTTAGTACATCTGAAAAGTACACCTGAGAAGGAGAGATTTGTTAATGTTAGTATATCAGTTTATCTTTTCGCTACAGTGACTCGCAGCGTTTTATTGTTCTCGACAACATTCAGATCTTGTCTACAGTAATACATTCATGTCTTCCTCTCGTCCAATCCCGTGAGGGCATTTCGGGGGTGTAGACGCCATGGCGGTGACGTCACAGTGTTTTCCTTCTGTCTGGGCTCTCCGACACCGCAGACATGACCGTTACTGGGGCGCTGTTGGGGCGTGAAGACCACGTGACCGGCTTGTCTGGAATCTGGACAAGACCTCTTTGGGTTTGTTTATGATAGTGGTGTGTTTGGGTTATAGAGGAATATGGTGGTACGATTAGATCTATGGGCTCTTACTTTGCTTGTTGTTGCTGTCGTTGTTGTTGATGTCACCATTTTTATTGCTGCTGTTGTTGGTATTGTTGGTGTTGTTGTTATTGCTGCTGTAGTGACTGCTGCACAAAGAATCGAAGTCCATCATGTGTACATGTGTGTGTGTATATATATATATATATATGTGTGTGTGTGTGTGTGTGTGTGTGTGTCTGTCTGTCTGTCTGTCTGTCTGTCTGTCTGTCA